TCGCTTTGCACAAAGTTTTGTCTGCATGGCAACGCTGACTGTATATGGTGACTCTGGCCGTAAATGGTCTGCTTGAATATCCTTCCGACTTGCTTTGAACTGTTCCAATGTTTTTCCACCCATTGGGAATTCCTCTTCGTGTGATTTTATTTCGCTCATTACTCTCTGAAAGATCTTCGAATCTTTGAAGTATTTCTCAAATTCTTCAGGAGTTCTAGGAACCTTATTTTCATAGCCGGGTCTTACTTTTCGTTCTGAGGGGTTGGTGATCGAAGTCAAGAAGTCACCAGTGGTTTGACGGCTATATCCAGTCAGTCTTGTTCGAATAATTGCATGTAATCATGACATTTAATTGTGTGCACTTACTTTGGGCACTCCCAGCCCATATCCACGAAATACTGCTTCGCTTGGTCACAAGGGCCATAATAGATCTGCCGACCTTCATAAAGCACGATAGCCTTATCAAATTGATCATAAATCTGCTGACTAGCTTGATAAATGGCAACCAAATGGCATGAACCCCATAGATTGGCAGTCATCCGCAATGATTTTGTAAACTATTATTTGAATTAGTGATGTCTTATTGATCGCTACGCTGAAAGTTTACTTACCTCCAGAGCAGTTGCAGCATCTAACCCACGTGTAGAATTGTCCCATGAAGCGATGGGTGAGCCAGCCAAGGCCATCTCGGCAATACTAACACGTTTTCTCTCACCTCCAGATACACCTCGTACAAAATCGTTACCGACTTTGGTATTGTACGTGTGGGATAATCCATAAACAGCCATAACGACCTGAGTCATATGCTTTGCCCACTCCGAGCGGGATGTTCCCTCAATAAGTCTTTGTTTAGGCGTTCGTACACTTGCAGCAAATTCTAAAGTCTCTCCAACAGTCAAATGAGGGAAATGCTTGTCAACCTCTTGATTGTATACAATTTCACCACGGAATTCTTTGAGCATTTGCTTTTGTGTGATACCTATGATTATTAGCATTATCACTGGTCATTGGGTGTATGAACACAACATACCATTATAATGAATTTCCGATTGTGGCTTCATGTCCAATCCGTATAGTTCCCCCATCAAAGATTTAAGAAACGTGGAACAACCGGAACCAGGTCTTCCGAGAACAATCAACATCTCTCCTGATTTCAAAACACCATTGAAGTCATTGAGGATAATCTTCTCCGGACCTTTTCCTAAAAACTCTCTGAATCTTGCAGGTGCCATCAACAGAGAGGCGACATTCTTTTGCACGTTTATTGCTGATCCGGAACCACATACTTTTAGGTTCTTAAATACAATTCCAGCACGTCTTTCAATGACATGATTCTCATCAGCCAGCCTCACCAACCTATATGTACGATTAGTCTGTGTCAAAATATTCACTTGGTCATGCAAAAACTTACATCCTGGCCCATTTATATACGTCGAAACCTGGGGAGTTGGGATCCAACGTTGAATCATCTAACTTAACCCCATGCAAGGAATCTTGTTTCTCCAACTCATGTGTTCCAGCTGATGCATTGGTTAAAGTTCTTCCAAGTTGAGAGCCCCCGAAACTTGAAGCTATTATCTCTAATTGTTCTCGGTCTCCTGCCCTTATTGATTCGAATTGTCTTTCGCGAGCATTTCCGGTGGTTTGAGCAGGCTTCAATGTGCCATCTGGATCTAGGGAGTCATCGCTGGTTGATGATATTGTTCCTTCGACATCATTCTGTTGATTTGATATGTATTGAGGTTGAGGATTTAGGATATTGTCTGATCTTTCAGGAAAATAATCATGACGCTCATGCTCCGAAGTGGAAGCCATGATCGACTGGTGCGCTCGTCCTGTGGCTCAAGCTCAATTGTCGAATGTCGGGTAGGTAGGTATAGCTAATGTTGTCACTGACAAGGATAGAATTTTGGGATATGAATAAAAAAGGATTGATGATGGATATAAAATTAAGACCAAGAGACGCGGTGAGCTAAATGTTTCTTTGGGCTTCCAAAACTCTGATGAAGATATAAGAGCAAGAATGCAGTTGAAAGTGAGTTAGATCAAGTGCTTTTTCCATCGATGCGCGGAGGGAGTTATATCTCTTGTATAAATAAATAAACAAATCCAACAAACTCAGAAGTTGACCGCCGTTCAGCCACTGTCAAATGGGTAAGTGGCTTACTCCATTGGTCCCAATATGACGGAGAATACACAAAGGAACTCATAGATTGTGTGATGCCGGATCATAAGTGATGTCCCAATTTCCGCTCACCAATGAAAGTTCTATACACCATCAAACAGAACGTCAACCCGAGATACTAGATACGAGATAGCGGTACCTACCGAGCTACCCAGCTCTTAGTATGGAGATTCTAAAGTAGTGGGGGGATGCTTCGCCCACATTATGGAATTCGGATGTTGACAGAGGAAGTGCTGTCGATCTTACTAGGGAATTCCTGTCAGAAATCCTTGACAAAAGATCGGAAAGACATATGAGCGTGCGAATTAATGTGATGAGAGTGATAACAACTCCCTCGTAGATGATTTCACATCCAGGAATCTTGCAAACTTGATGACAGTATCGGAACTTTGACTGGTCAAAAAGTATCCAGCTGACAGATAGCTTCTTCACCCCCAGCACATTCCATTCTTTACAAGTGTTACTTTCCGGCTATTCATAATATGACTAATCACCCTAGGTGGTTGATAGTACCAACTCCGATATGCAGCAACTCCGATGTAGTAACTCCGATATGCTCTATTTTTTCAATAATTAATATCAATTCAACTATATAATTAATCTCATATTGAAGTACATGAAAATAATCATTGGGATTATTTCAATATAGTTACTATATTATCTTTTTATTATATTGTTTTGAATTATATAGTTTCTAAGGATTAAATATTGAGATTAACTTATATAATATTGAAATAATTATATAAGCATGTCGCTTTTCTCAATAGATTATTCAAAATATCGACCTCACAATAATGATAAGCTAATAATATCTAATAAAATAATTCCAATATATATTAAAGAGACAGTCAAGAGCTATAACCTATTATTATTATATAATGTTTGATTGAATTGATATTAATTATTAAAAAATCGAGCGTATCGGAGTTGGTACATGTCGGAGTTGGTACTATTAACCACCTAGGGTGATTAGTCATATTATGAATAGCCGACAAATACAGGGATAACACAATATCTGACAATACTTGACGGAATCATAGTCTGTGATCTAACTCGGTATCAGATGAATGCAAACTGTGCGTATAAAAGCCTAAAAGAACAGAACCAAGTTTTGAATTCAACTACGCCGTTCTGACGGGATAACAGAAGAGATGATAAAGATAATCGTAAGTATATCTACGAGATAGATACTTGATGTATCCACTAGGTAAGATTACATATCTCTACATTATCATGGTTGATGGAGTTGCTGGAGTTGGCAGTTTGAGTGTGAGAACAAAGAAGGGCAAAGAAAAAAGAAAAAGTGGTTGAATGTCAATAGTACACAGCCCTGCCACGTCTACTCCGTACCCCTTCATGGAATCTCGTTCGCTTCGTGCCGTGATGGATCTACACAGGGGTTACTATTGGGATGCCGGCAGTCAATACGACTGGACGACTAGGAGACTGGCAAGACTGGTTACTAACCATAGTAACCTTAAATAAAACGCACATACACACCCATGCAGTGAGCAGTGTAAAGAAAAGTCCAAACCTTATCTCCATCACAATCCTCTTCATAAAATCTTTTCCTTCCTCCGGATCAATGCCCGATTCTCCGTCCTCTGTATCTTTACCCCGTACTGATGATGTAAATGCATTTTTTCTATCCGAACCACTCTAGAGTCTAGAGCCACCACTCTATATGAAAATGTTTAGTCCAGAACCAAGAAGAGTTAGATCTATGGCATTTTGTGCATTCACCATAACACTTATGCATGTCGTTACCGGTGACACGGATGAGATAGAAGGAACTCAATAGGGCTGACAACGATATGGATAACCTAAGTACACAACTGCGCCTTGATGAAGCCAAGGACGATTACTTAATCGCCCATCAACCAATACGAGAGAAGCCTTCGTTCGTATCGGATGGTATCTATCACTCCGCGCCGAGCCTTCAGCCAGGTCGAGATTGTTTTTCTATTGAACAATCATCAGCCACTTACCTCTGCCGAGACGCTATCAGTAGATACTTACTCCTTCGTTCGATCGATTCGCATGTTAAAGATCTTTCTCTACCTCCTCGTTTTCTTCATCCTTTTTCATCCTTTGCAAAGACGATTGATCAATCGAGATTAGAGGCGTTTGTTACCAATCCGAGTTCATTCATTGAGGCTCTTGACTCAATCAGTTGAGTCCGCTAAGCTTCAAATGATATTGTCATATATATACTTGAGAAGATTTCTCTCATAAAAGGGCAGTACCGGTATGATATCTTTACCTATGTGTCAATGATCATAATTTGCTTCATTCTCTCATAAAAGGCCAGTATGATATCTTTACCTACCGATGTCTCAATGATCATAATTTGCTTCGTTCTCTCATCGTTAGTCGCGACAAGGTGTTTTGGTATCACGTGATCATATCATCATCTGACTCGTGCACCTTCCCGTCACTTGACTTAACACCTTGGAGGACTTTGGTAAGATGACTTTTCCCGCCTGCAACACAGTGGAGTATGAGGGAGATGAGGATCAAAACAAAAAGCAAAGAAACGGGTAACATATTCGCAATTCGCAATATTCAATGCTACAATTGCTTTTGAAATGAGAATTTCTTTGCATTGTGTTTCGAAGCAAGGATTCCCCTTTCAAACATGAGCGCCGTGTTCACTATGCATCATGTGCTTGAACAACAGCATGAAACTGCATTTTATCAATTCTGTATCAAAATCAAAACATGTTCAAAGCGAAATGTTACATTTTTTCCTTCTCGAACGTTTTTGCTTCCTTTTAATATTTACATCTCTGTCGAGTGAACTGAGGTTCAAAAGATGGCCAACCATATATATTATGAACTCCCAGCGGATGCCATAGAAATCACTCCTAGACCTCTCACTTCATCACAAGCACAACAACAACCTTCATTGCCTCCGCGGAAGCCTTCAACTCCATCACCTGACGATAATGAGCAATCGACAATTCGAGGTGTACCTGGAGATGATCCATCTGCTATACCTCTACCACTATTTACACGTCGATCGAATTCGAACCTCTTAAGTCAAACTTCAGCAAATTCTACCCACAGTACTACACCAACTCCTTCTCCAAGCCGGCCTCCTATACCCACAGTTGAATCATACGACAGCTCCTTCGAAAACCCATCACCTCTCCCGCCCGACAGATCAGATCCAAATATCCATACCGGCCCAGCTCTTCCACCCCGAAGGATATCTCAACACAATCCAAATGAAGTTTACTACACCCGAGATTCCCATAGGGTGATCGCATATCTTATACCTCTTCCTAAACCAATCGATGTTTCTGATGCAGAATTTCCTCAGGTTAAACTCTCCTACCATTGTACATTGGAATTTCACTAATAGTAAATTAGCGCTATCTAACATATACACCACCCGCTGCTCATCTACTTAAACCAGCTGAAGGCATTAAAGAAGGTAAACGACATAAGGGAAAACGAGTCTGGCAGCGCGAGGTATATTTTCTTCATCTGCGAAATGTGGAATTTGATCACGTGATTCACAGCTGATCATTCTTTCACATTAGGTCAAGAAAGCCAAAACTTATGATGGTAAAACAATGAGTCTCAGAGGACTTCATAGTAAAACCACTAGAGGAGTAGTCTGGGGAATCAATTCCATCAAAAATACAGACATAACATTTCTCAACCGAGTGCCACGAAAAGGTGTTTCTTCCCTTTGCCCATTCCTCGCCAAACTCACACTAATCCCCACCCCTTCTTTTTTAGAAATTGAAGAACTTCACCTGATATACCCACCCACCATTTCTTATTCACCCATCGACCTCCGCAACCAATTCCTTTCCCAATTAAGCCGCACCAAAACCCGTGCCAGAAAACACGCTGCAATATCTACTCTTCTCCTCCTCCCCTCCCTCCTAATCGACACATTCGCCGCCGTAATCTGGCCTTTCGGTGGTCTATTCGAAGTAGACGCCGTATGGGCTTTCACCTCCGTTCGCGGCTATCTCGTTTCTCGCTCTATAACTAAAAGATTATCCTCCCAAGACACAATTCACGATCACGAACAAATGCGCATCCAAGATCGAGAATTATACCTCCGCTTTCATAAATCTGAACAATTGAGAATACTAGAAAGATATGTCAAAGAGTTATGTCATAAGCAGAATCCAAAGAGATTTGCAAGTGCGGGGGTGCCACCGACGGAAACGGAGGTTTTGAAAGCGATGGGATGGGAACCGGATATGAGGGGACGGGTTAAGAGTGGAGAGAGGGGGGGAATGCCGGAGGGTGGGATGAGGGATTGGGATGATGAAAGGTGGCAGGAACGAGAGGCTAAAGATGATTTATTTGGGGTTCTGGGGAAGGGTGCAAAGAGTTGGGATGGTTGGTGTAAGAAGTGGGAGAAAAATCCAAAGAAGGCGGAGAAGAAGTGATGGGAGGTGAGGTGATGAATGTTGGAGAGGAGTGTAAAATGATTGTATGATTTAGTGTAATGTAATACATGAATTTGTGTTCCTAGTTGAGACTTGAACCAGCACTCGACTTGAACACTGGTTGGATAATTAAATCAATACATCTGGTTGACCCAAATGTTCGTACTCTTTTTCCATCTCGTCCCAAATTCGATCACGATCTGCATCTCGTGCTTCTTGAGTGAAATTATCTAGCCAACCATATGTACCTTCTAGAAAATACTTGATTTTCCGTCGCTATACGAATCGTGTAGATAGTCAGTTCCGTATTTTACACATGGTTCATTACACATGAGAATTTACTCACCATCCACTCTTATTTTTCTCCGTTCTCCACTTGTATGGGAATAGCCCAGGTCACATTCTAAGCACTAGACTTCTTTCCGTAGAGCGCAATCTCCAGCAGAGATCTGGTACAAATCCTAAGATCCCAAGAAAAAGTCGAATTATCTATTCTAGCTCTGTATGTGGTAACTCATTAGAGAGCGACTCTTGTACCCCAGACACAGGATAATAGACGGTGTGAGAAAGAGGGATTGGTACTGCGATTGTGGGTGCTGAAAGGATGAAGAGAACGATGGCAACGAGATTTCTGAGGGAGTTGGAAGTAGTGTTTAGGAATTGCATTCTGAATGAGTTGATTGTGGTATAAGGTCTGGTTATCGATTAGCTGTGAGTATTATTGAAAAGAAACGAGCGTACTCTTTGATATTGAAATCGAATTATGGAACTATAGCTTTTCTTTGCCCCTTACTGCTGCAGGTTTTGACCGACCACACAATGCTAATATGAAAGTTTTTTGTTTCCTCTTCTCGTTCTTGAAATGAGCGAGTACTTATATCCTAAATCCTAGAGCCTCTGACTTTTTCGGCGTAGATTTGTTGTTGATTGGGCGGTTATGAGCAATATTGATCTTGACATAAGATACCCACTTGGATATATCTGGTCTTCAGAAATCGTTCTTTTACTAGATATCAGTGGTCATGAATGAGGTGATTCGATGCGTTACGAAAAGTATCCACTAAAATTCTTGTTGAAAGTCGATGAGAAAGAAACGAGGATGACTTCCAAATTCTGGAGCGAGAAAGAGGAAGCAATACTTGCTCTCCCTTTTGTAAAGCCCAGCATATGTTAACACGTTCTTCCCTACATTCCAAAGATCCCTGTTGTGAGTAATTTCACGCGTTATAATGATGGTCGTGTTGAGGAATGCAATACTTTAAGGATTGCTTGGCATAAATCGAGAATAACATGTTCTGCATAAGAGTCACTTGACCCTTAGACGTGATACAAATGAAAAACATGAGGACGGTTCAGTGGCTTGCTGTCATAGATTCTACTCTCACATCAAGTAAGTTGAAAAAGATATGATGGACAATCGACAAAACAACTCAACCAAGTATCAATAAATACCTAGGTAGGTATTCGATAGAAAGAGACCATTTTATCTCCTCTCATTACAATGGAGTATTCTAGACATCGCGCACATCACTCAAAAACACACCGTCGAAACTTCCCATGCCGAACATGCCATATTTTGCCTTAAGAACAAGCGTGATGTTGATTATGAAATAATAATAAATTACATTTGCAAAGCACAAACTGTTGCTCCTGGTAGTTGTGACCCAAATGAAGATAGAAAGACTGTTAGTTACCATGCATGATTTCTTGGGACCGAGAGCAAGACTGATAGACGTAGGTAAAGACATGTTGTCTAGTACATATCATTACGAATGAGATATATATTTTCTCGTGTTAGCTTCTCTTGTGTCAGCCCGCTGAAAAAGAGACGTCCGGGACTAATGATTTTACATGGAATTAAGAGTCAAGAGTGGATAAATCAGCCCTATCATCTGCAAAAGCGCTACGAGGAAAGCCCTAGGATTTGATATCGAATGTAGCTAAAATAGATTTGACACGACTAGATGACCACCAAATCTGATCATCCGATATTTTACTACAGATCGAAATGCTCGAGTCTTTTGAGGAATTTTTGTGCTTTTAAGTGATCTAATCCTCGAAACAAGAGGGTTTTCAGTGGGTAAATTCTCCAATGGTTCCATTTAGATTCAAATGTATAAGTAAGCGGAAAGCGAGGTCAAGGCACAGGAGAGTCACATAGGCTACATAAGTAGGTGAAGTGAGGATTACCAACCAACTATCAGTATGGCTGAAATGTAGAGTGCCTCAGCTTTAGACAGGTTGATGGAACTACCAACATAAAACCCTCTTGTTGACGGCAGGTGTGGGACTAAAAATACGAGGTACAAACAACGGATGAAACTGGAAATTTCAGGTCCATACTGTACATTCAAGGGCCAAGAAGGCAAATTCGCAGAGCCAATATTCATCCTGTCATTGCAAGGGAAGGGATATGAATACAATTTGGAGGCATTGGAAGAGTAGCGAAGATTTATACGTTCCAAAGTGAATCCTTGACTTGTAGTTAAATGAGTACGCTTGAGTTAAATATATCTCAAAATGAATTCAATATATGGTGTAAATCTATGACTACATCTTAACCCTTATAAATGGAGATATCTAATTAATCTAATACGGCTTTCCCTCTTTTCTTGCTTACCAAGATTACCTCGACTACATGACTGCCATGTATGAAGTTATAGGTGAAGCATATTCTCAATATTCACTCGAACTAATTTTCTCAAATTACCCACTTCGAGATTATGAAGACCTCGTAGAAAAACATCAAAGCGGCGTTCGCTTGGAATCAAATTACCTTTTCGAAATGAAAGGCGCAATTACCTCTTTGAAGCCGTATTATTAGCTTAAACCATACTATGTTTTCGAGATATTTCGAGCAGTACTATAGCGCAGTACTCTCATGAAAAATTCGCCTAGTACTCTCATGAAAGATTCACCGGTACGGTGTCGCGTGGTATCTCAAGCTCTCCAAGCACCATAAAAGGTTGAGCTCTCTCCCGCATACACTTTTACTTTCTATCAACACAAAATTAGAACAGAACTTTAGACTCTTCACGCAAAAAAGCATCAAGTCTAACCCTTTCTCTGACTCTTTTTTACCTCGATACCCCTCACATCTACAGGAAGTGAAACGTAACTTCTTTTGAGGAGCAAAGAACTGACACTACTTCAGCTTAAATCACAATCGAAACTCTGACACCTACTGCCTAACTTCAAAATGCTCTTCTTCAATCCAAGCCGCATCATGTCAAACATGATTGGGTTTCTCTCACTTCTCTCATTCCTCTCAGTCACTGTCCCAATCGTCAACGCGAGCCCAATTGTCTCCAATGCAGTTTCCCTTGCACCTCGCGCCGACCCTGGATTTACATGCCACATGGCTCCCGAAAACTACTGCACCATCGGTATCACCGTAACTCCATCGAGAATCGCCGTTGATCTCCCTGAATTCATCTATCTTTTCGACAGTTACTGCAACAGATATGGATTCATGGAATCGGGTTTCAATATCGACATGGCCAGCTGTCTTCCATATAAGGTTGTCGGAACACTAGCAGCCGAAGAAAGGGCCATGGAACGCATTGCAACCAACCCCAGCATTTGCTATGCTGGTAGATGTTGGGGATCAAATGACCCTTGCTGGTATAGAGTCCCTATTAGCAATGGAGAGGACCAGTGGCAAAACGTTTGTGTATTCCAATGTAACAACATGAATGCCCGCCGAGACAACACAATTGAGGCTATTGATGGAGCATTAGTTGATATTAAGGCTCTTGACGGAACAATTGAGGCTCGTGTTGGAGAAACCATTGAGACTCGTGATGGAACAATCGCGCGTCGAGGAGATGTCTGCCATCATGCCGACGCTGGCTATTGCACTATAGCCGTCACGGTCACACCCTCAAGACTCGCTGCGGGAGCCACGGATGATTGGGTTTACCTTTTCGACAGTTCCTGCCGTACAATCGGAGGCATGTATTCGGGCCAAGACATTGATATGGCCAGTCAACTTCCATATAAGATTGTCGGTCACATGGCATTTCAGAACCAACGTCTTACCGCCTTCCCTGACTTCTGCTATGCGGGAAGATGTACCTCTGCGTATGATGGTTGCTGGATTCATTCCGATATTGGCAATAATCAATGGGTCAATCGTTGTCAATTCCGCTGCAATTAACCACAATGTTGACCGTCGAACACACGAATGATTCAGCAATGCTGATGAAAATTCAGGAAAGCTGCATCTATCGAGGTGATCGACTGATTAAAGAAGCAGATCAATCAGTATCGCTGGTAAATAAGCATAGGAATTACTTTTTGCATGGATTTGACAGCTTATGCTGATTTCGGGTATTTCTTTTGTTATCTGATGGCAGGTCTGACATCTCAGAAAGTTTGGGGGTCGTGATACCAATGGTTTGATTTGGTTTCGTATTTGAGGGGCTTAAGCTTTTTAGCGTCGGAATTTATATGTAGCAGACAGGTGCTTCCCAAGGTGAGAACCTATCTAGACTCAATGAAGCTACGAATAGATCAATGATAAAGAAAATACGTTAAAATCAGTCTACTTTCAATATGTGTAATTGTTTATGCAACATGTGTAGAGTTTCTATTGCTTTTGAATTGAATCGCAAAAAAATGAAAAAGTTGAATCAGATTACGTGTAAAATGAGTGTACCTAGGCACAATGTAAGGAAAACGAGAAGGTTGCCCCTAAATGAACATTACCAGTACAGTATATTGAAAGTTGTACCTCGGTTCATTCTTGGTGTCGCCTGGAATTTCCTCAACTACTGAGTCAATCACACCACACCGAAAGAACTTTCTTCCAGTTTCGGTCCTACTGATGATTGATCTTGAAAAATCCTTTAAAACAAAATTATAAACAAAGTTTTCATCTTAGCGAAGGGTATATCCTATAAGGAACCATGGCTACTATACTAGAAACGCATAGATATCAGTGCCGCATTCCGTGCGTCACAGGCGTTGCCGATCTAGAACAGCCGAAGAATGATCTT